TGTACAACTGTCCTGACGCCTTTGTTTCACATATCGCAGCCTTCGATAATTGTGTATTGATCGAAATATGAGAGCTCGACGCCATTTTGGTTCTGGTTTGAACTAAGGTAACAAATTTTTTCCAAAAATCCAAATCTTGAATGTGTCAGGTCAATTCTTAGATGATCACGAGTCATGTGACAAACTTTCGGACAGTTTGGTACAATACCCTTAAAACAAAAATTTGTATTTGAATCTACTGATTTGAAGGGGGTTTCACTTCACATTAATTCCCCGTTAGTAATGACTTCCAAGTAATTGAATTAATTAAATGGCACAAATTGCGGTTAAATCCTTCGAAACCGTGTAAATCAGTTGAGGACATATTTACTTTTACAGTTTGTTAAATAACATAATTCTGTTTTTCGTCAGTTGAATCCGATTAACCTTGTCGGAACAATATATGCAGACTCACGTAATGCATTCAATTGAGCATTCATTAATATGACATTTATTCGCTTTAACGAGATTGTAGTTAAATCCGTCTAAAATTTAATAACTAAATGGTATTCCGTTTGCGAATGTAATTTAATTGCAAGTGATTAATTGAAGAGACTCGACGAAACGATATAGTTGAATCGCCATTCAGGCTATTTCAATATAATATAGCAGCAACAATGATGAAGAGTAAATTGAGTTTTGTAAATTGGAAATAGTTTGCTTAAATTAGTCGAAATTATGCAGTCACATATTTTCTTTATTAATGCACAAGTATTAAATTCCAACTTGTATTATGGTTCTTTTTTAAAAAAAGGAACTTCATTTATTTATGCTCTTTCCATTGCCGCAGTTAGCCCGAACATCGGCTCATATTTACCCGGACGGACTTTAAAATGCAATAAAGTCTCTCATTGTCCTGCAACGGGGATTTAAACATTTAATGCTTTGACGACTTCGGTAACTACGTTTGCAGCAAGTTAGACAATTAAGTTCTCGTTCGTGAATTCGTTTCGAAAACTGTTGCATTTTATTCCTCTTTCCCTGGTACCTCAATAACGAGAATATGCCAGATGTATAAGCTTAAGGTGAAGTGAAACCCTCTTCAAATCAGTCAATTCGAATACAACACTTTTTTTTAAGGTTATTAGACCAAACTGTCCGAAACTTTGACACATCATTCGTGATCATCAACTTAGCCCAGACTAGAACCAAAATGGCGTTGTGCTCTCATATTTCGATCAATATACAATTACCGAAGGCTCTGATATGAGAAACGAAAGGGTCAGGACAATTTTACGACAATTTAGAACACTCTGGTAATCGATAAACTCGCATTTGAACGGGATAAAGGCAAAAAAAGTGTTGTATGCGCTTCTATGCTAAAACCATCGGAATACGAGGTCTCGCAGTGAAAATTTAATTGACCTGGAAATCACAGATGGCGCAAGGTGTCCCTCTGCAGTCAATTAGGACCCCAGAAAGCATGAATCCAGAGGATTTCTTGAGTTTCACTTAGATTTCTTGATATTTATTATACAAAAACAACGGCTGGCGTATGCCATTGGGTACAATAGCCAATATAATTCGACACAGCTGTCGACATAAAAACGAACGTCGGCAACGTAGGTATTAAAAAAATCTTCTTTATCGACGTCAATCAAGTTCCTCAACGTGTTTCACTTCACCTTAAATACCCTGTTTGCTCATAGAATGCGTTAGTGAGCATATTAAGTTACTATGGACAGCCCATACTCTAGTTTTGTATGAGTTTGACACCTGTCAACGATAATCAGGGCACATCATCAGTAATTTCATACAACAACATACATTTTTCCTTAGGTAATCGTGTCTAGTTTCTTGCAAGAAGAGCATATGCGGGAAGATCTGCTTTTCTGCTTCAGTTTTAAGAAATTAGCTGCCGAATCGCATCGAATGCTTGTGGAGGCCTATGGCGACAGTGCTTTAATGGAAACGACGTGCAGAGATTGATTTCGTTGGTTTAAAGACGGCAATTTTGACCCGAGCGATAAGAAGCGTGAAAATCGGCCAAGGAAGGTCGAGGACCATCAACTACAGGCTCTTTTGGACGAGGACGGTACCTAATCGTAAAAATGCTTGCCGAGCAATTGGATGTTCCTCAACCAGCCATTTCCATGCGCCTACGTGCCATGGGAAAGGTTTGAAAGATCCGAAAATGGGTGCCGCATGAATTGACCGATAGGCAGATGGAGCGACGCCAAAACACATGCGAAATCTTACACGCCAGACAAAAAAGAAAGTCGTTCCTGCATCGGATGGTGACTGGCGATGAAAAGTGGATATTTTTTGAGAATCCTATACGCAAGAAATCCTGGGTTGATCCCGACCAACCATCAAGATCGTCCGCAAGACCAAATCGCTTCGGACAGAAGTCGACGCCGTGCGTTTGGTGGGATCAGCAGGGTATCGTCTACTAAGAGCTATTGAAACCTGGTGAAACTGTCAATGCCTACCGTTCCCAACAACAACCGATCAAATTGCCCCGTGCTCTGCGTGAAAAAAGGCGGATTATCGGCAAAGACATGACAAGCTGATTTTCCTCCACGACAACGTCCCATCGCCCCGGTCAAAAATGGTCCGAAACTACTTGGGAGCTCTCAACTGGGAGGTGCTACCCCATGCCGCTTATTCCCCAGACCTGGCCCCTTCCGACTACCCCTGTTTTCGTCGACGGGCCCCGTGCTCGCTGAGCAACACTTCGATTCTTACTGAGACGTCCGACAATGACTCGATGAGTGGTTTGCCTCGAAATAGAAGGAACTAAACTGCAGTGAATTAGGCCCCAAAAAAGCATGAATCCAGAGGATTTCTGGAGTTTTACTTCGATTTCTTTATAATTATTATACGAAAACGACAGGTGGAGTATGCCATTTGGTACAATACCCAATATAATTCGATACCGCTGTGAATATAAAAACGAACGTTGGCAACGTAGTCGTTTAGAAAAATCTTCTTTATAGACGTCGATCAAGTTCCTCGACGGATTTCACTTCACCTTAATGCCTTTCAATTAAGGTCCTCTCTTCTTACAATTAGCCGAACGCGAAGGCGTGGCTTCGCTTTAGTGTCGGAAGTCTGAAAATTCACGGGAAACTTGGAGGATCGGAGATGAAATTCTCCAAGTAGAATGGCGGCCGATGAGGCGCGAGATGCTGGGGGATCATCAAATCTCGTTAACGGCGACATACCCGATACCGTTGCATATTCTCCGTACTCGCGTTTACGTCGACGACAACGGCTTTTCAACGCGTCGTCGACTCGGTAATTCGACCTAAAATTTGATTAACTTAGAAAGTGTCTCGTTGCCTATCAAGAAACTCGGTAGAGTTTCGAGCCAAATACATTTTTGAGCGAAAAACTCACAGGGTCGGGTGCTGAGAGAAACGTGCGTTTGAGCTCGAGCTTCGACTCGGTAATTCGACCTAAAATTCGATTAACTTAGAAAGTGTCTCGTTGCCTATTAAGAAACTCGGCAGAGTTTCGAGCCAAATACATTTTTGAGCGAAAAACTAACAGCGTCGTGTGCTGAGAAAAACGTGCGTTGAGCTCGAGCTTCGACTCGGTAATTCGACCTAAAATTTGATTAACTAAGAAAGTGTGTCGTTGCCTATCAAGAAACTCGGTAGAGTTTCAAGCCAAATACATTTTTGAGCGAAAAACTAACAGCGTCGGGTCCTGAGAGAAACGTGTGTTTGAGCTCGAGCTTCGACTCGGTAATTCGACCTAAAATTTAATTAACTTAGAAAGTGTCTCGTTGCCTATCAAGAAACTCGGTAGAGTTTCGAGCCAAATACATTTCTGAGCGAAAAACTAACAGCGTCGGGTCCTGAGAGAAACGGGCATTTGAGCTCGAGCTTCGACTCGGTAATTCGACCTAAAAGTTGATTAACTCAGAAAGTGTCTCGTTGCCTATCAAGAAACTCGGTAGAGTTTCGAGTCAAATACATTTTTTAGCGAAAATCTCACAGAGCCGGGTGCTGAGAGAAACGTGCGTTTGAGCTCGAGCGAGACGCTACAGAGTCCTATACGCCAAGGATCGAGATTTCAGGAGTGGGGGAAATGGGAATCTACTCTCTCCATTGCTATAGAAAAAGAAATGAACGTCTGATCAGCTAAAAAAATCAAGCAAAAATTCTAGAATTTTATAAAATTTACTCGACTGAAGTGAAACACGTCGAGGAACTTGATCAACGTCGATGAAGAAGATTTCTCTAAATGCCTACGTTGCCGACGTTCGTTTTTATATTGACAGCTGTGTCGAATTATATTGGCTATTGTACCCAATGGCATACGCCAGCTGTTGTTTTCGTATAATAAATATCAAGAAATCGAAGTAAAACTCCAGAAATTCTCTGGATTCATGCTTTCTGGGGCCCTAATTGACTGCAGAGGGACCCCTTGCGCCATCTGTGATTTCCAGGTCAATTAAATGTTTACTCCGAGACCTCGTATTCCCATGGTTTTAGCATAGAAGCGCATACAACACTTTTTTTACCTTTATTTCGTTCAAATGCGAGTTTGACGATTACCAGAGTGTTCTAAATTGTCGTAAAATTGTCCTGACCCTTCCGTTTCCCATATCGGAACCTTCGATAATTGTATGTCGATCGAAATATGAGAGCTCAACGCCATTTTGGTTCTGGTCTGGGCTAAGTTAAAAAATTTTGTCCAAAAATCCAAATTTCGAATGTGTCAGGACAATTCTTAGATGATCAGGAATGATGTGTCAAAGTTTCAGACAGTTTGGTCTAATACCCTTAAAAAAAAGTGTTGTATTCGAATCGACTGATTTGAAGAGGGTTTCTCTTCACCTTAATATTTCCTCACTAAAATCAATATTTCTCCATTAAATCTGGAAAAATAAAGACCTTATCTATAAATCGGTAATTCGACCTGTTGCGGTACAATTAGGTATATACTAAATCTCGGTACGTTTAGTGTTAATACTGTATTCATATTGAGTAATGTATTTTTGATTCCAGGGTCCCGTGCGATTCTACGACAACGAGAGAAAAGCGTACATCTTGCTGAAGCAGTTTCAGAGTACGTATAAATGTTTACATACGTGTACATTGTGTACATTCAACAAGCCGGGTTAAAACGCAAACCATCAGTTTTTCTCTGCCATCCATCGTTTTCCGGAAACACGGTTCAGATAACGTGTAATCTGAAATAAAAGAAAAATACGCCGCCCGTTTCAGTGGTTTTTTTGCGACGCTTTTTTGCACTATAAGCGAATTTTTCTTTTTATAACAAAAATATTCTGCAACGAGCTTCGCTAGGAGTTCGTCGATGGCGAATAAAATGAATTTCTTTCCCTCTTTTTTGCGCCTCACGTTGTGCAGTATTAACGCAGGTGCATTGCGCTTAATTATTGTATCTTCGGAAGTGATATTCAAATATTGGAAATTATTCAACCGGCCACGCTGAATATCTAAAATCCATATAACATTAATTCAGCAATTTACGCAAATTGCCTCACGGCTTGCCCCTTATATACATATAAATCTTCATCGATTTTACAAATTTTATTCCGGTAATACATTTTTAATGAAAAATTAATTAAAAACTGCCCCTGCTCCGTATAAATTGATGGCGAAGTTTCAGATAGTTTCATGCATGAATTCCTAAAAATGGTAAAAGATCACTTTTTTATGAACTTCCGCTACATCGAATATTTAAAGACCGTGTAAAAGTCATTATCTGTAACCGAAATTGTTTTTTAAGCCAAGAGCAAATGGATTCAACTATTTGTACGATGGCACTCCCACGATATCTAAATAAACAAGTTTATAAATTATTATAGTGTTAAAGAAATTTGCNTCAACTATTTGTACGATGGCACTCCCACGATATATAAATAAACAATCATAAAAGTATCTAAGAGAAATAAACATTTCTAATAGTTTATAAATTATTATACTTACCGCATAATAAAAAATATAAGGAATATTTTAATTTGCAGAATGATAGTTATAACATCTAAATTGCTTAAATATTTTCATCGGACTGTAGAACAGTCCCATGAACATCGAAAGGAAGCATAGTACACCTCATTTACTATGCTCTAATTAATTAAATAAAATACTTATCTAAATCATAAGTTATTCTTAATGTAGCTCTTTTACTTTAATATGCTTAAGAGTCTTTACAGAAAAATGTGAGATTTTTTATTAACGTTCAGTATTTACCGAAGAATGTTACCGAGCTTTTTTTTAAACTTTTTATATGCCATTGTCAATTTATGTTCTTCACATCAATAAATCCATGTAAAAGTTTATTAATTAGATTTAAAACTATCCGTGACCCGATCATTTTACAGTAATATATATGGAATATTTTTATTAATAGTATGACAATACTTTTTGAACATCTGAACAAATATTCCTGTGGATATGGTATGATTGTCCACCGGGCAGACATTCTGCGTTCCATGAATATTCATTGTATATCTTAAATATTTGCATCATATTCTAGAAACAACGAAATATTCGCCGTGAATATTCGTAGAACATTCATAGGTTCCAGAAATGTCATTTGGGCTTTTCGCCCAAATAAACTATTACCTTTTAAACAAATACTAATTGGCATCTTGTGCACTTAGATATAATTTTAATGAAATGCGATGAAATTGATTAAAAAATTAATTATGTATTTAAGTTAGGACAAAACATAACATAACAAAAGATTCATATTAAAGCTGCAGATAATTCCTTGCTTTAATCTCAAAAAATCGTGGGAAATAAATGTTTGATTAAATTGAAAGCTAAATCTCGGTTAATCCAAGTAGTGAATCACATTTACTCCTTTACCACCCCCTCGGCATCGGACATGCAATTTATTAAGAAAGGAAAACGAGGGTCTATATTTGACCATCTCCTCCGGCAACCCCTAACACGATTAAAGGGGTGGTGGAAAATGTATGCTTGTTTTATGTATTTTTGCGAAAACCGCAGGCCAGGCGGGAGGGGGGTGAACAGATGAGCTTTCTCGATGAATTGTGGAGCTTTAAGGGGTTACACCACTTTGACCCACCCAAAAATTACGGTTTCTCAAGAATTTTTCTTTCAGAATTAAAACGTTTTTATCCAAATTAAAGTACAGGAAGGTATCATACTACTATTAAACAAGAAAATGCTTTTTTGTATTTTTCATATTTACAAAAATGGCGGCTTGAAAGGCGATTTACCGGAGCGCTGCGAAAATCGATGATCGTGCGGTGGGCACGATAACTCAGTCCAGGTTTAAGTTAGAACAATAAACGAAAAAGAATTAGTTTCTGTAGCCCAAAAGCTAGCCAAATACGTAGCCGTTTTCAAAAATATGCATTTTTCACAAAATGGCATCGATTCGAAAGGAAAGATACGTATTTTGTCCTAAATTTCGTTAATTAATGTTGCATAAAAAAATGCGAATATCAATACATTGAAAAAACCATACGTATTTCGCTAGATAAACATATCGAGAATAAAATAAAAAAATAATCAAGACGATTGATTGAAAATTAGCGGAGCTAGAGTGCCCACCGATTTTTAAAATGCAGTTTTAAGAAAAACGCGTTTACACCTATACACCTGCCCACCGCACGATCACCGATTTTCGCAGTGAGCGAGTTTAATATTGGGTTGTTCGGAAAGTAATTTCGTTTCGTAATTAAGTCCTCTGTTTCCCAACAGAGGACTTAATTTTTTTTTTTACGGCAAAATTCACACTTAAGCCGCATAAACATTATATACTTTGACAACTGATCTAGCAAGGCTCGCTTGTGAAAAAGTTTGATTGATTCTACGCAGTAGTTTTCGGTTGGTACCTTTTCAAATATGGAAAGTGAAAAGCGGCATTTGCGGCATATTTTACTTTCTTACTATAGAAAAGGTAAAAATGCTGTTCAAGCGATAAAAATTATCCGACGTGTATGGAGAAAATGTATCGACGGAACGCCAGGGTCAAAACTGGTTTGCAAAATTTCGGTCCGGCAATTTTGATATCGAAGATGCCCCACGTTCTGGAAGGGCACTTAAAGCTGATGAAAACACAATGAAGGCATTAATTGATGCAAACCGGTGAATAACAACTCGTGAAATCGCTGAGAGATTTAATTTATCGATTTCGACCGTTCATGATCATTTGAAACGCCTAGGTTTAATCTCAAAGCTGGACATATGGATTCCTCGTGTTCTTCCGGAAAGAAATTTGTGTCATCGCATTGACGTCTGTGATTTGCTTCTCAAACGTCAAGAAAATGATCCATTTTTGAAGTGCATCATCCCTGGGGATGAGAAATGGGTTGTCTACAACAATGTTACCCGCAAGAGATCATGGAGTAAAAAAGATGAACCGGCTCAAAGAACTTCGAAAGCCGAAATTTATCAAAAAAAGGTGATGGTATCTGTTTGGTGGGATTTCAAAGGAATCGTTTTTTTTGAGATTCTACCGAACAATCCAACGATCAATTCCGAAGTGTACTGTCACCAGCTGGACAAATTGAATGATTCACTTAAACAGAAGAGACCAGCATTGATCAATAGAAAAGGTGTAGGGTTTCGCCAAGATAATGCGAGACCTCATGCAAATTTCTTAACTCGCCAAAAGATTGTACAGCTTGGATGGGATATCCTGCCAGCCCCACCATATTCTCCAGATCTGGCACTTTTTGATTATTACTTGATCCGGTCTCTACAAAATTTTTTAGACGGTAAAACCTATACTTCAAATGAGGAGGTCAAAAATCACCTGGATCAGTTTTTTGACAGCAAAAACCAAACATTTTATGAGCGTGGAATCATGCTCCTGCCAGAAAGATGGCAAAAGGTATTGGACCGGAATGGACAAGGTATAATTCAATGAAATATTTATTCGCTATAAAAAAATCGTCTTTCATTTTCATAAAAAAAAACAAAATTACTTTCCGAACAACCCAATAGTAGTATAATACCGTACTGTAACCCAATTGGATGATAACGTTTTAACTCTTAAAAAAACCGTAATTATTGGGTGCGTCAATGTGGTGTAACCCCTTAAGGATGCTTTTGGAAAATGGGCAGGGTCCGGGGGTGAAAAGTGCCGGAAGCGGAAGCTCGCGGGGATTCCGAAAGGCGAGGGGCCGAAGGGGAGAGTTCCTCGGTGCTCGCGAGATGTGTTTACGAAAGGGAGGCTGGATGGAAGGGGTTAGGTTGCCGGGATGTATGCCAGGACTTAAAGGGGAGGACATTCTAGGGAGGTGACGGCGGAAAACACCGAGAGCCGCCGACTTTCGAGCTTGTTGTCGCTTGAAATCCACCCTTGCATTTAGGGCCAAGAGCCCGAGAAAGGTCTCGCACCCCTGCACGCCGAGAGGAGCCATTGTTGCATAAATGCACAGACATTTTTTCCGGATTCGACGTCCTCAAGCCGGCGAAATAATCCGCCCCCGAGAAAATGTTTCTCCGCTGTCTCTCGGTTTTTTTTTTTGTTCTTTCGGTCAAACGTTAAAAAGTGTAGAGTTGCATGGAGTCTACACTGGGAAGATGAAACGTTGAAAATGTGATTATCGATACAATTTATGGGATATGAAGACCAGGCATATTGACCAAATTTGTTGGTAATGTTTAATTGTGAGGAAGATAATGAGAATTTCTGAATATATGCCCGCACACCTCTTGGCGACATTGTTGCATAAATGCACAGACATTTTTTCCGGATTCGACGTCCTCAAGCCGGCGAAATAATCCGCCCCCGAGGAAATGTTTCTTCAGCCGTCTCTCACTTTTTTTTTTTACGGTGAAACGTTAAAAAGTGCAGAGTTGCATGGAATCTATTGGGAAGATGAAACGTTGAGAATGTGATTATCGATACAATTGATGGGATATGGAGAAGACCAGGCACATTGACCAAATTTGTTGGTAATGTTTAATTGTGAGGAAGATAATGAGAATTTTTCAATATATGCCCGCACACCTCTTGGCGACATTGTTGCATAAATGCAGAGACATTTTTTCCGGATTCGTCGTTCTCAAGCCAGCGAAATAATCCGCCCCCGAGGAAATGTTTCTTCAGCCGTCTTTCACTTTTTTTTTTTTTACGGTGAAACGTTAAAAAGTGCAGAGTTGCATGGAATCTATCGTAGAAATGAAACGTTGCAATTGTGATTGTTTGTCGATACATTTTATTGGATATGGAGGAGATCAGGCATATTGACCAAATTGTTGGATAACATTTAATTGTTAATGAGATATTATATATTATATTATGCGAGGTCCCAGATTTACGCCCTGAGGACAGGAACAATCGCTCACGTTGACGACGCGACGGAACAACTTGGAATGAGAAAGGGACCTCTCTGTCTAACCTCCTCAACCTACCCCCACTCCCACTATTGCTTCTTCATGTCTATAAGCTCTATGGCGCAAATGTTCCTCCATTTTGAAAATTACAACGCGAGATCCTCCTCAATCTACCCCCACTCCTACTATTGCTTCTTCATGTCTATAAGCTCTATGGCGCAAATGTTCCTCCATTTTGAAAATCGCGACGCGAGATCCTCCTCAACCTACCCCCACTCCTACTATTGCTTCTCCATGTCTATAATCTCTATGGCGCAAATGTTCCTCCATTTTGAAAATAGCGACGCGAGATCCTCCTCAATCTATCCCCACTCCTACTATTGCTTCTTCATGTCTACGAGCTCTATGGCACAAATGTTCCTACATGTTGAAAATCATAACGCGAAATCCTCCTCAACCTACCCTCACTCCTACTGTGGCTTATTCATGTCTATAAGCTCTATGGCGCAAATGTTCCTCCATTTTGAATATCGCAACGAGATGTAACGAGCGGTAAAGGGAGCTCGTGATATCTCATATCGCGCATTTTCCGGGATATCGTGACGTCAAACGCGTTAATAACAGTCACCGCTGCTGAATCTGCGCTGTAATGCTCAACAAAAACGCGATCGGCCCGATTTACGGGAATTTAATATTTTTTTCAGCAGGAAAATTCTATGGCCGCGCCTCGCGTTTCGAATTTACCCGGAATATCGGAAAGTTACGCGCGATTTCACGGAAAAACGAGTCAAACGATCGAAATTTAAGATCCGGTTAAAATTCCGATGATAAAACGCACAACAGCTGAATCCTACACTAAGAAAAAAATTACATTGAACCATGGACATATTTCTGTAAATAGTACCAAGGAAATGTTTCTTTAAATGGTACCAAGGAAATATTTTTTTAATAGTACCAAGGAAATATTTCTTTAAATAGTACCAAGGAAATATTTCTTTAAATAGTACCAAGGAAATATTTCTTTAAATAGTATCAAGGAAATATTTCTTTAAATTGTACCAAGGAAATATTTCTTTAAATGGTATCAAGGAAATGTTTCTTTAAATAGTATCAAGGAAATATTTCTTTAAATAGTACCAAGGAAATACTTCTTTAAATAGTACCAAAGAAATGTTTCTTTAAATTGTACCAAGGAAATATTTCTTTAAATGGTATCAAGGAAATGTTTCTTTAAATCAAGGAAATATTTCTTTAAATAGTACCAAGGAAATACTTCTTTAAATAGTACCAAAGAAATGTTTCTTTAAATAGTATCAAGGAAATATTTCTATAAATAGTACCAAGGAAATATTTCTTTAAATAGTACCAAGGAAATGTTTCTTTAAGTAAAACCCAGGAAATATTTTGTTAATTCAAAGATTATTCGGCTCAAATGAACTCGAATAATATGAATGCATCGTTTATTCAGAATTATGACAATTTATTTCAGTGAAATAATTATTCTTGGAATTAAAAAAATATTTCTTTGGTTTAATGGGATATTTTCTCAGTGTATCATCTTTTTTTTTATTTTTTGGAGAATATTGTGATTATTCTTTTATGACTTCAACAATCTATTGCGTTATTTGTGCAATGCCGCCTGATATAATACATTAAATATTTAGACTATATTTGGGAAACATTATCATATGTACGTAATTTAATATTGGACTTAAAATATCATTCCAATGTCGAATATACATGAGGAATATTTTCCAACTTCTTTTCTATATTCAATGAGTATTTTATGCTGTTTGGGTCCAAAAACGAAAATTCAATATATTTACCGCAGAATCAAGGAGTAATTATTTTAAACATTCATACAAACCTTTTTAAGAATATTCAAAGCATGTTCTGGCTTATGAATGTATAGTAGTTGATACGCGGCAGTAGATAAGTATTTTATTTGATAAATTAAAGCGCTCGATGTTCATGGAACTATTCTACAGTCCGATGAAAATATTGAAGCAACTTAGATGTTATAACTATCATTCTGTAAATGAAAATATTCCTTATATTTTCTACTATGTGGTAACCAGGGTGAAAACTGGATTCTACATTGGACTGTTAGGAAAACGAAAATAATTTAATATATTTACTACAGAATCAAGGAATAATTATTTTAAACATTCATAGAAACCTTTTTGAGAATATTCAATGCATATTCTGGCTTATGAATGTTTATACAGAATATTCACTAAATATTCCAAATGTCCAGAGTATAGAAAAAGATTTAAGGAATATTCATAGGTACGATGGTGTTATCTGGGAGGGATTCCTAGATGGAACCGTCACTTATCCTGGTGAGCTTTCTCGAAATCCAGGACAATCATCATCGAAGGATTCCCCGGGAAGGATCCGTATACATTTCTTCCTTTTCTCTCTGCAACCTAACCTGTCTGTTTTCACCTGAGGCTTTCCCACGGTCCCGGAAACTTCCGCATCCCCACATGTCATGACACAGCTCGTTGTCATTGAAGGATTCCCACGATCCAGCGATTTCTATTTTCGATATGTCTCCTTCCGATTTCCTGAAAACGCGATCGAGTGAAATGACGATGCTGAGCATTTAACCACCAGGGGGTTGACACTCTAATCGGAGAAATTAGATGGCGTTTGCAGCGCCATCTGACCTCGTAGACGGAAGTGAGGAACTAATATTGCCGGGATTGAAACAAACATTTATTATTTCATTCAGTAGACGCCTAATTTCATATATAACCGTTTAATATAACAGTCGATAATGCAGTTAATACATAACTTGCTCCATAAACGCATGAATCCGGGATTTACTTCCTAATTGCAACATGTGACTAATTGATTTTGCCGGCATCAAAACTCAAACATTTATTATTTCATTCAGTAGACATATAAATCCATACATAACCGCTTAATGAAAAATTTAATGAAAAAATTAAGTTAACCCTCGATAATGCTGTTAATACATAAGTTGCTCCATAAACGCATGAATCCGGGATTTACTTCCTAATTGCAACACGTGACTAATTGATTTTGCCAGGATTGAAACTCAAACATTTATTATTGCATTCAGTAGACGTCTAATTTCATACATAACCGTTTAATATAACCATCGATAATACAGTTAATACATAAGTTGCTCCATAAACGACAGAATCCGGGATTTACTTCCTAATTGCAACATGTGACTAATTGATCTAGCCGGGATTGAAACTCATACATTTTTTATTTCATTCAGTAGACCCCTAATTTCATATATACCCGTTTAATATAACCGTCGATAATGCAGTTAATACATAAGTTGCTCCATAAACGCATGAATTCAGGATTTACTTCCTAATTGCAACATGTGACTAATTGATTTTGCCAGGATTTCAACTCAAACATTTATTATTTCATTCAGTAGACCCCTAATTTCATATATAACCGTTTAATAAAAAATAATAACAGTTCCCATATTTATTCCGATATTATTGGGAACGTGACTCGTTTGACAAGAATAAATATTAACTGAGAACTCCGGGAGGGAGAAACTGAAAATAGAATAATGTCATTTCAGGCGGAAGTGAGGTTAAGGTCGGCGAGTACAACGGCGTGACGGGTAACCTAGATCTGAGCAGAGGTCAACCCTTGGTATGGAGGGGCAGGTCCCCCCCGAAGGATCGAACCGTCCACATAATCGAACACTCGATGGTGAACATCACGATCTACGCGGTTCTCGCCGCCATTGCGAGCATCGGTATCGTCATGGCAGCCATCTTTCTCGCCATAAACATCAGATACAGGAACCAGAGGTAACACCCCCAGATTGTTCTAATAACTATCCCCGAGCACCCTATCTTATAGTTAAATAACCCTGGAATAACATGATGTGTAACAAGTATTGTTCAAAAGATGTTCAGGTACAAGAACCAGAGGTAACACCCCTGGCTCGTTCTAATAGCTATCCCCGAGCACACTATGTTGCAGTTACATAACACTGAAATAACATGACATGTAACAAATATTGTTCATAAGATGTTCAGATACAAGAACCAGAAGTAACACCCCTGGCTCGTTCTAATAACTATCCCCGAGCACACTATCTTATAGTTACATAACACTGGAATAACATAATATGTAACAAATATTGTTCAAAAGATGTTCAGGTACAGGAACCAGAGGTAACACCACCGGCTCGTTCTAATAACTATCCCCAAGCACCCTATCTTACAGTTACATAACACTGGAATAACATGATATGTAACTAATATTGTTCAAAAGATGTTTAGGTCGAGGAGCCAGATGTAACACCCCTGGCTCGTTCTAATAACTATCCCCGAAGACACTATCTTACAGTTACATAACGCTGGAATAACATGATATGTAACAAATATTGTTCATAAGATGTTCAGATACAGGAACCAGAGGTAACACCCCTGGCTCGTTCTAACAGCTATCCCCCAACAAACACTATCTTACACTTACATAACACTGGAATAACATGATATGTAACAAATAGTGTTCAAAAGATGTTCAGATACAGGAACCAGAGGGAACACCCCTTGCTCGTTCTAATAGCTATCCCCGGGCACCATATTTTACAGTTACTTAACACTGGAATAACATGATATGTAACAAATATTGTTCAGAAGATGTTCAGGTCGAGGAACCAGAGGTAACACCCCCGGCTCGTTCTGATAGCTATCCCCCAACAAACACTATCTTACACTTACATAACACTGGAATAACATGACATGTAACAAATGTTGTTCAAAAGATGTTCCGATAGAGGGAACAGAGGTAACACCCTCAACTCGTTCTAACAGCTATCCCCAAGCACACTATCTTACACTTACATAACACTGGAATAACATGATATGTAACAAGTGTTGTTCAAAAGACCTTCAGATACAGGAATATACCATATAGCAATTTTTATTGTAGCCCGTACACCGATATTTCCTGTAAAATTTTATCGACGATTCTATAAAGCTTCTTTCGAGATAAGAATTTATGGAAATCTTGTTCTCTCTTCCTGGTACATAAAAATGTCACCGCACCTGAACCCCATTATCAGACCCACAAAAGTTTAGTACATTTCGTGAACAAATATGTCAATTTTCAGTGTTGCTCATACTCCGACTTTTGTTATCCAACCTGTAGGGATACTACAATCGCGAAGGAGAGACAGTGTCGAAAGTCTTTTTTGGATGGTAATAGGTAAAATAACGTTTATTAACAAAAAGAACTGAACACACGTCGTCTTTAAGGACTTCCCGTCTTATATGTGCCCATAATTATGAAAGTGGTCAAAGTAAAAATTGAAAAAAAAATGAGTTTATCAGTTATTTCACGCCACATTATTTTAAACTAAATTAATTCAAAGTACTTTCGAAACAAAAAATATATGACTTAGACCACTTTCATAATTATGGGCACATATAGCTTATGCCCGTCGTAATCGTCGTCGTCGTCGTCGTCGTCGGTTTGGAACTGCCGAACCTTTTCGCTTCGTGTCGGCTTAAAACCTCTGTATCCCGCTGGTCGGATACCGTTGATCGTTTACAAAAAGCACGTGCGTTGCACGTTTTAAAGCAGATCTTAAACAACAGAGGAAAACGTCCATGCTGCCCTTTGGAGAACTCCCTGCCGACTTTATTACTCTATGGTATACCAGGCGCGTCCTGGCAGACCTCGCCGAACGTCTTACAAAACTAATGGTACAAGTATTGGGTTGTTCGGAAAGTAATTTCGTTGTTTCCCAACAGAGGACTTAATTTTTTATTTCACGGCCAACTTCACACTTAAGCCGCATAATCATTATATATTTGGACAGCTGATCTAGCAAGGCTCGCTTGTGAAAAAGTTTGATTGATTCTATGCAGTAGTTTTTGGTTGGTACCCTTTCAAATATGGAAAGTGAAAAGCGGCATTTTCGGCGTATTTTACTTTTTTACTATCGAAAAGGTAAAAATGCTGTTCAAGCAAGAAAAAAATGATCCGACGTGTATAGAGAAGATGTATCGACGGAACGCCAGGGTCAAAACTGGTTTGCAAAATTTCGATCCGGCAATTTTTATATCGAAGATGCCCCACGTTCTGGAAGGCCACTTAAAGCTGATGAAAACACAATGAAGGCATTAATTGATGCAAACCGGCGAATAACAACTCGTGAAATCTCTGAGAGATTAAATTTATCGAATTCGACCGTTCGTGATCATTTGAAACGCCTAGGTTTAATCTCAAAGCTCGACATATGGATTCTCTTCCGGAAAGAAATTTGTGTCATCGCATTGACGTCTGTGATTTGCTTCTCAAACGTCAAAAATATGATCCATTTTTGAAGCGCATCATCTCTGGGGACGAGAAATGAGTTGTCTACAACAATGTTACCCGCAAGAGATCATGGAGTAAAGAAGATGAACCGGCTCAAAGAACTTCGAAAGTCGAAATTCATCAAAAAAAGGTGATGGTATCTGTTTGGGGGGATTTCAAAGGAATCGTTTTTTTTGAGATTCTACCGAACAACCCAACGATCAATTCTGAAGTGTACTGTCCCCAGCTGGACAAATTGAATGATTCACTTAAACGGAAGAGACCAGCATTGATCAATAGAAAAGGTGTAGGGTTTCGCCAAGATAATGCGAGACCTCATACAAGTTTCTTAACTCGCCAAAAGCTTCTACAGCTTGGATGGGATATCCTGCCACCCCCACCATATTCTCCAGATCTGGCACCTTCTGATTATTACTTGTTCCGATCTCTACAAAATTTGTTAGACGGTAAAACCTTTACTTCGAATGAGGAGGTCAAAAATCACCTAGCTCAGTTTTTGACAGCAAAAACCAAACATTTTATGAGCGTGGAATCATGCTCCTGCCAGAAAGATGGCAAAAGGTATTGGACCGGAATGGACAATATATAATTCAATAACATATTTATTCGCTATAAGAAAATCGTCTTTCATTTTCATAAAAAGAAAACGAAATTACTTTCCGAACAACCCAATAGCTTAGGAATTAGCGCTAAATATCTAGTTACTACAAACCTTATCGACGATTCTAGCTTCCTTCGCGGTAAGAATTTCTGGAAACCTCGTTCTCTCTTCCAGGTACATAAAAATGTCGTCGCCACACCTGAACAACCTCATTATCGTGGGGTGCATGCTGTCCTACAGTAGTGTGATTTTTCTGGGGCTAGACTCGCAGTTGTCAAGTGTAACCGCCTTCCCCTACATATGCACAGCCAGGGCCTGGTTGTTAATGTCGGGCTTCTCCCTCGCATTCGGATCCATGTTCTCCAAGACCTGGCGCGTGCACTCCATCTTCACGGATGTAAAGCTCAATAAAAAGGTGAGTAATCCTCCAAGCCGGGAGAAATATTAGCTTCGCTGTAGATCTTTCGTCTTGAGTAGAAAAAGAAATTCCATTTGTACCTCTATTGCTAGGGGACTGTCCGAAACGTTTTAGGGCATTGTGCAGAAAACCTTAACTGAACCCTAACTTGATTCCTTTAAGGGGATGTGAAAGTGGCACCGAGAAGCTCAATCGTTCATAAACTTTTTCTACGAACAGGGTGTCTCAAATCGTTTCATACTCTAAAACGTGAATATGGAGACCCTAAGGTAGGTTCTGTAACTCGCGAGATTTCATTTCTTATAAACTGTTGTTAAAATACCAATAAACAAATTTGAAAAGAATTGATATTTCATGAGTTTCAGGACCTTCCTTATAGTCCCCCCATTCACGTTGTAAAGTTTCAAACTATTCGGTAAACCGAGTTGGGAGAAAAGTTTTATAAACAAAACCTCTCCGACGCCACTTTCACATCACCTTTCAGGTGGTACGAAACTGTCAGCCTATGTACATCTGAATGGTCAAATCGTTGGTGAAAGTTATAAAGTTCTTTATTTTAATGTGGTAACAAATAGTAACTTATATTTTGGATGGGATTAAATACTCTACACAAATCCTAACGATTGAAATCGCTATATGAGCCGCTCAGTGCACACATCGACTAACTCCACTTTTTGAAAAATCTTAAATTTAGGGGTCAAAGCACTTGGTACAGTCATAACTTTTTATATTTATAATATCTTTCCTGATTAATAGAGATTAACACCATTAAACGACAAAATTTTGTTGGGCATTGAATAATAAGTAATTTATTTCAGAAGCCATTTTGATTAACTCCATCCTCTAATGTAAATCGTAGAGGAATACCTGGCAGTATAGTATTATTGGATTATATGTTGCGGCCGTACATCGACGCTTTTTTTTTTTAAACAGCCGAAGATGCTTTCCCCCTTTCAACAATATGAGTAATAAAATCGCATCAGCAAACGGATAGAAAGAAGCGCAATGCAGACGGTAGTTAGTATAACGGTGATCTCTCACGCTGAATGTCACCGTATACTTCACCAATATTACACGGACTACATATTTTTTGGTCTTTTCAACATTACCCCCTGATTGTTTTTAAAGAACTAAATATTATACCGTTATAATCTAGATGAGTGAAACTAATAACAATGTGGATGTGGAAAGCAGGGATGATTCTTCGATACGATTTATCAGCAGAAAGTCTGGTGCTCGAAGACGTTTATCGTGTTTCTCGGATTCATCCGATTGCAACGGTACAAATTCCCCAACAAACTAATCCTGATAAATGGGCACGAAATTTACAAAAGCATAACGGAACAGAAGGTTTGGCATACAGGAATAGGGGAGGAAATTTAATACCTGCAAAAACATTTGTCGATATAAAATACAGACGATTATTTTTTGGCTATTCTTTCTTATTAATTTCATATACCGTTAGATGAAAACTATAACTGTATTTATGTATTGTACATTATATATTTGAAGTTATATTATAATAGGAATTTTAAAAACGAATCTACATTACTTCATCGCATTTCTTAATTTTTTATTTTATGGAGTTAATCAATGTGTGCACTGAGCGGCTCATATCATGTTTGCCTGAAAATAATACCTTATATTTGCAATGTTTCCAGGTGATAAAAGACTATCAATTGTTCATGGTCGTTGGAGTACTCCTCCTCATTGACTTGGTGATCATGACCACGTGGCAGGTCGCCGATCCATTTTTCAGGGCCACTAAGCAGATGAACCCTTATGTGCGTCTACTCATAAGTTACTTTTAATCATATCCCAATCACCCTTATCATCGAAGGGCATCTTCAAAGCCGGACAAAAAATAACCATCTCATATCTCCTTCTCGCGAAATAACCAGACAATTATTATGGAATTAAAATCCCACGGGAAGTTTAAACGCTGTCGATCATTCGTTAATTAACACTTCCTAAAATGATATACATATACCTTTCGGGTATTGTTAATAACAATTGCGCATTTACCGTCATTCGGACGCCTAATTCGATTCGCCCTTCCGCCGAATCGCATCTCAGGGTGCGATTCGACCGAGGATGATTACGATACTGAATCAAAAGGACCTTCTGTAATTCCAGCCGCATCCTTCCAGCGAGGACATCATTATCATACCGGAGAACGAGTACTGTCAGAGTAATCGAATGACGGTGTTCCTAGTAAGCATATACGCTTACAAAGGTCTCCTGATGGTGAGTGTGTTACAGGATCTTCCACGAGAGAGACTAACAAGGAAGATTTCCCAGGTCGATCTCTCCGATTTCATTTCTTTTATAATGTTATAGTAGACTAAAAACTAAGTGACACGTATTTTTTTTTACCTGCCATTAAACACTTTAAGGGGGTGAAACCACTCTAGTAGCATAGAATAATTTCTAAATATTTTTTACAACTTTTTCTAAATATCCCAAGCGACAGATTTTTTAAGATGTCCTGTAGATTTCATTCGAAGATATCTGAAATATTTCTTGAAAATCTCAATNCCGTGAAAAAAAAAATTAAGTCCTCTGTTGGGAAACAACGAAATTACTTTCTGAACAACCCAATATATACTAGCTTTCATAAACAATATTCTTTCTTTTGTCCTGAAGGACTTTATTTATGCGATTTTCATTACCGTAAATCGAATCCACGTGGAATGGATATTAATAGTAAATTGAGGGATGCCTGTGTATGCAATAATAATGTAATAATAATTTTCCAGACGTACCTGAGGAGATTAGATGAAGAGTCCGTGGCCGACACACAAGAAGCGATGGACAGGTTGACAGTCCCGAGACAAGAACCTATTGTCAAAAGAGAGGGTGAGTTTCGAAATCATCCACTTTTCCATAAAACATGTAATATATTAAAAACATTATCGAATTAGCATTGCTTACAAAGATAAATTCCACGTAGAGCAATTTTCCAAGAGAAACTCTTAGAGTGTAAGTTACGATTAAATCAATAAAATCGAAAGAACATTATCTCTCGAAACCTCGGTAAAGTGTGAGTCGTGAACAGTTAATCATTAAATAAAATTAGTTGCATATCAAAATCTATCACATATTGAGGTGTTGAATTTAAAAAAAATAATGTACTCCGCAGAATGTTTACAATGAAAGTTATGTAGAACTAGCGACTGCGATTAATAATTATCTTATACTTTCGGCGTGGAGTACAATTACGTCACCGACTTGCAATTATTTAACTATTCGATCAATTCAGCCCCTAGTAGCACAAAATATTTGTCTTATAGTTTCTATATATTTAACGAATATCGTATATTTTGTAAATATTTGGCAGACATTTGATATATTTGCAAAACGTTTACTTTAGAATATTATNAGCTAATATTATATAAATATTATAGGGGTAATATTCTAAAGTAAACGTTTTGCAAATATTTCAAACGTCTGCTAAATATTTACAAAATGTACGATATTCGTTAAATATATAGAAAACATAGGACAAATATTTTGTGCTGCTGGGGCACCATCCAAAGTAAGGCATTTCAAGGGGCGATTTGGCAGTTTCACCCACAAGAACATAATATTTTTCATCCAATCCACCTGGAAAAGCTTTCTCATAACGAGATATGAAAAATATAATGTTCTCAATTAAAAAAAAAATTAAGGGGTGAGCCACCCCTTACAGCGGTGAGCGCTCGGGGGTAGTTGTCCCGGCCAATATTATTTTTCGGGAAACTCAAAGACACGTCAGGCTTCCTTGGTGTTCATACACAACATATATTTGTTTTCCGATTATTAGACTCGAATTTGACCATTTTTTCCATGAATGTAATCATATTTAGGGGTGGCTCACCCCGTAATTTTTTTTATTAATTGAGAAAATTATGTTTTTTATTTCTCGTTATGAGAAAGCTTTTCCAGGTGGGTTGCTTAAAAAATATTATGTTCTTGTGGGTGAAACTGCCAATTCGCCCCTTGACATGCTTCACTTTGGATGGTGGTTTCACCCCCTTAAAGTGTTTAATGGCCGATAAAAAAAAATACGTGTCGCTTAGTTTTTAGTCTACTATAACATATAAAAAAAATCAAAGCAGAGAGATCGACTTGGGGTACCTTCCTAGTAAGATACAGCTATAATTTTCATGAAAGGACCCTCTCCTAGCAGGATCCGCTTCCTGCACAGGATGTTCCGAAACACTCGTCAAACCGTTTAGATAAAGAAAGAAGATGACATTTTCAGTCAAAAGTGCCTTTTCCATTTTTCTCTCCGACCGGTACCAATCCAGTTATAACCCTAGCAGCATAGAATAATTTTCACATATTTGTTTGCAATTTTTGATAAATATATCAAGTAACAGGTTTTTTATGATATAATAGGAATTTTAAAAACGAATCTACATTACTTCCTGAAATTTTCAATGACATATTTACTTTAAATAATTTATCAACGGATAATAAAAATAGATTTTTTTGCTTTTCGATTATTGTCGGACCCTTATTTGGTATCAAAAAACATGACAAATTTTTACAATATTTTTATTCCACTGTTTTAAGGTGAAGTGAAACACGTCGAGGAACTTGATCGACGTCGATAAAGAAGATTTTTCTAAATGCCTACGTTGCCGACGTTCGTTTTTATATTGATAGCTGGGTCGAATTATATTGGGTATTGTAAAACACGTGGAGTGAATATTACAAAAATATTATGAAAATAATATTTTGAAGTAAATGTTTTCCAAATATTTGAACTGCTAGATATTTACGAATTGTACGATATTCGTTAAATATGTAGAAAATATAAGGCAAATATTTTTTGCTGCTAGGGAACGCGATGAAATTGACCAATAACGTGCGAGGCCTACGTTAATTTTTTCAAAGCCGCAGTCGATTAAGTTAATTTTCTTGTTGGATCGTTAATCCGTTAGTTGCCTGATTTGTCAACATTTTTAAAATTAAATCGAAGAAGATTAATGTATGGGGCCTATTATATCAGCACTGCACATGAAACAGAACTGGTCAGCTTCATTACGTTATAATTCGGTAAATAATTATCGAAAAAACATAATGGAAGAGAAACTTTCAATTAAAAATGGTACCCTCCTTCAGCCTCTAAAAGAACTGTCGAGAGTTTTGAGACACCCTGTAGAGAGAGAAGTCGAAAATTGGGTAAATGTGGAGTATAGGGGACCTACCTTCGATGACCTTGACCTTGACATATATTGTCAAGGTCACCCGCCTGAGCAACCTCCAGAAGATTCTAACCGTCGCTCGTTGCTTGTTAAAAAGTTATTAACGAAACAATGTTTATGAATTGAACGTACTTTTTCGACACTGGGGGTACATTTAACCTTGACCTTGACATACAATGTCAAGGTCACCCACCGAAGTAACCCCCACGAGGCTTTAGCCGTCGCTCGTTGTTTGTTAAAAAGCTATTAACAAACCAATTTTGATAAATTGAACATACGTTTTCGGCACTGGGGGTACATTTAACCTTGACCTTGACATACATTGTCAAGGTCACCCTCCTGAGCAACCTCAACAAGATTTTAGCCATCGTTCGATGTTCGTTTATATGTTTCTCGTTGTTGAATATACATCTAAAGACTCGTGTATTATTGCAAGTAATTGGTAGTTGGTCGCTTCGCGGTGACCGGATTTTAACAATTAACCTGACCCAAAACCACATTAACTCAACTAAATAATTCGAAACATTTTAAATGTGATATATAAAGATAAAGATACGTGAATATTTTCGATATTTTTCGAATGAATTTGAGTTGATTTGGATTTAGGTTAGGTTAGGTTGGATTTAAGTTGAGCTGCCTCACAGCGATCGGATTCTAACTATTAATCTAACCCAAATCCACGTTAACTCAACTAAATGATTCCAAACATTAGAAATGCGATACATAAAGTTAAAGATACGTTAACATTTTCAACATTTTTTGAATGAATTTAAGTTGATTTGGATGTAGGTTAGGTTAATAGTTAAAATGCGGCCATCTCCTACAACAATACATTAGATTCTAATTCATTTAATGATATTTAATTATCTAATTATATTCTAACGGATACATCGAACTCATGATTTCAAAGAAAGCGTTAATAGAATCACCGAAATGGTATCTTCTTTTAAATAATTATTTAGCGAGATAACGACTACAAGTGATAACAGCATCTCGACAGGAGAAATCAAAAGAGAACAGTAAGTGTATGAACATTTATGTACAACGCGTATACACTATGTACTGAGACTTTAAATAAACACCCAGGGTCGACAACGTACTTTCAGTTCATCAAGATTATTTTGTTAATAACATTTTAGTACAACGCGTATATACTACGTTCTGAGACTTTAAATTAACACCCAGGGTCGACAGCGTACTTTCGATTCTTCAAGATTAGTTTGTTAATAACATTTACGTACAACGCGTATATGTTACCGTAAATGACCGAAATTGGAGAATGTCGACTTTCACCGGTGAATGTCAACAGATACCAAATACGTCGGTGAAAGATCGAATATTTCATTACATTGTTGTACATTCGGACCCTCTCCAGTGTGTGTCGACAATCACACACCGGTGAATGTCAACATTTACCGGTGTAAGTAAGAAATAAGGGTATTTAGCAAATATTTCGGACATACATTCGGACCCTCTCCAGTGTGTGTCGACAATCACACACCGGTGAATGTCAACATTTACCGGTGTAAGTAAGAAATAAGGGTATTTAGCAAATATTTCGGACATACACGAAGCGACTATGTGAATGTTGACATTCACCGGTGAAAGTCGACATTCTCCAGATTTCGGTGTTTCACCGTAACATATACACTACGTTCTGAGACTTTAAATTAACACCCAGGGTCGACAGCGTACTTTCGATTCATCAAGATTAGTTTGTTAATAACATTTATGTACAACGCGTATACACTATGTACTGAGACTTTAAATAAACACCCAGGGTCGACAACGTACTTTCGATTCATCAAAATTATTTTGTTAATAACATTTTCGTACAACGCGTGTACACTACGTACTGAAACTTTAAATTATCACCGAGGGTCGACAGTGTACTTTCGATTCATCAAGATTATTTTCTTAATAACATTTTAACAGATAAAACTTTGTGGAAGTGATTCAGGAGGTTGACCTTGACAATATACGCCAAGGTCAAGGTCATCGGAGGTGGACCCCTAAACCCCACATTTACCAAAAATTGCAACGAGTCGATGTCTTCCAGATATTCGGAGCTTTCCTCGCCTGGGAAACGAGACATGTCAGCATACCAGCCCTGAATGACAGCAAGTATGTCGGACTGAGCATATACAATGTTGTCATCATGTGTGTCATCGGGGCTGCCATCAGCTTCCTGCTCTCCGACAAGCAGGACGCCCTCTTCGTCATCCTGGCGGTCTTCATCATCTTCTGCAGCACGGGCACCCTTTGCCTCGTTTTCGTCCCGAAGGTGATCATCCTTAATTTCGAGACATATGCATTTCATTCATTTTGATACTTGCCTCTAGCAGGATTTATGTTCATCGTCTGGCTTTGGGAAAGGAATTAGTTTAAAGGGGTTAAGGTGAAGTGAAACACGTCGAGGAACTTGATCGACGTCGATAAAGAAGATTTTTCTAAATGCCTACGTTGCCGACGTTCGTTTTTATATTGATAGCTGGGTCGAATTATATTGGGTATTGTACCAAATGGCATACTCCAGCTGTTGTTTTCGTGCAATAATTATTAAGAAATCGAAGTACCACTCCAGAAATTCTCTGGATTCATGCTTTCTGGGGCCCTAATTGACTGCAGAGGGACCCCTTACGCCATCTGTGATTTCCAGGTCAATTAAATTTTCACTCCGAGACCTCGTATTCCCATGGTTTTGGAACAGAAGTGCATACAACACTTTTTTTGCCTTTATCTCGGTCAAATGCGAGTTAAGCGATTACCAGAGTGTTCTAAATTGTCGTAAAATTGTCCTCACCCTTTCGTTTCTCATATCAGAGCCTTTGATAATTGTACCTACATGGTACAGTTAAACATGGTCCCAAAATTGCCATATTGTGTATCAACAAAGTCGCTACTTAAAATCACTTTTCTATCACTCACAGTATACCAAAGGTGTCATATGGTATATCAACAAAATCGCTACTTAAAATCAATTCACTATCACTTACAGAATATAAAATGTGTCAGATTGTGTATCAACAAAGTCGCTACTTAAAATCAATTCACTATCACTCACAGTATATCAAAAGTGTCATACTGTGTATCAACAAAATCGCTACTTAAAATCAATTCACTATCACTCACAGTATATCAAAAGTGTCATATTGTGTATTAAGAAACTCGCTACTTAAAATCAATTAACTATCACTTACAGAATACAAAATGTGTCAGTTTGTGTATCAACGAAAAGTATCTCGTCCATTCCGATTTCCTCTTCCAGTAGCATAAATACAGCGAATATTAATTTATTAAAATCTAACAAACTTAATTATCATTTACGGGGAACCAAAATTGCCACATTGTGTATCAAAAGAATCACTACTTAAAATCAAAGCGTGTCACGACTGTTATTCAAGGCATTTTTTCCCGTTGACCTTTCAGTTGATAGAACTTCGTAGGAATCCTCAGGGTGCAATCGACAAAAGAATTAGGGCAACCCTGAGGCCAAATTCTAAAACACGAAGGGACTCGACAGCGAGCGAACTGGAAGAACGTTTAAAAGATGCAACCGTCGCCAACCAGAAGTTCCGAAAGCAACTCCTGGAGAAGGAATCCGAGTTTCAGGTAATTATCGCAACGTCCTCCTAAATACTTGTTCATCCGTAAGATCCCCCTCAAAGACCTTTGTGTAACGAGGGAGTCTAATTGCACGACAACCGGAGGAGCATTTTCGGAAAGAAAGGCGATTCTCCCTGACAATACAGTTTTGTCCAAGGAAGAAATCTTCCCGGTTATTTATGTATTTCTTTCTCTTTAAGATAGCAATTACCTGTCAGGCCCAACAAGGAAGGTATGTCAGGTCGATCTCTCCGATTTCATTTCTTTTATAATATGTTATAGCAGACTAAAAACTAAGCGACACGTATTTTTTTTTATCTGCAATTAAACACTTTAAGGGGGTGAAACCACCATCCAAAATAAGGCAGGTCAAGGGGCGATTTGGCAGCTTCACCCACAAGAACATCATATTTTTTAACCAGTCCACCTGGAAAAGCTTTCTCATAACGAGAAATGTAAAATATAATTTTCTCAATTAAAAAAAAATTAAGGAGCCACCCCTAAATATGATTACGTTTATGCAAAAAATTGTCAAATTCGTGTCTAGAAATCTGAAAAATATATATATTGTGTATGAACACGAAGGAAATACGTGTCTTTGGATTTTCCGAAAAAAAACAATATTGGCCGGAGCAACTACCCCCGAACGCTCACTCCCTATTTTTTTCTTTAATTGAGAAAATTATATTTTTCATTTCTCGTTATGAGAAAGATTTTCGAGGTAGATTGGTTAAAAAATGTTATGTTCTTGTGGGTGAAACTGCCATATCGCCCCTTGACATGCCTTACTTTGCATGGTGGTTTCACCCCCTTAAAGTGTTTAATGGCAGATAAAAAAAATACGTGTCGCTTAGTTTTTAGTCTACTATAACATATTATAAAAGAAATGAAGTCGGAGAGATCGACCTGGGATACCTTTCTTGTGAGTAGAAAAACTTCAGTATCAATTGACAGCGAAAATTTGAATATTTTTAAGCCCTTCTTTAACGAGCGGCACACAATAAATCTAATTCTTCTTAAAGGATCCTTTGGTTTCCTGAACACGTATTCCATTTAATGTTTGTGGAAAATATCCTAGTAGCACAAAATATTTGTCATATATTTTCTATATATTTAACGAATATCGTACATTTTGCAAATATTTCAAATGTCTGCTAAATATTTATGAAATGTACGATATTCGTTAAATATGTAGATAATATAAGATAAATATTTTGTGCTACTAGGGACGGTTTTCTGAACACATATTCCATTTAATATTCGTGGGAAATATGTTTATAACTTACTAACACTAAATACGTCATTGAGATTTGCAACAACATTTTCAATATCTTCAAATTAATTCCATGAGTCATCTTAAAAAATCTGTCGCTTGAGGTACTTAGCAAGGGTTACAGAAAAATATTTAAAAATTATTCTGTGCTACTAGGGTTCTTTTTTACGCGAGAAATTATAACAAATTTTACGAGGTATTGAAACGTCATAATTTTTTCTGTTAAGCTATTCGAATTAAATATGTATTTCTAAAACTTATATTGGGTTGTTCGGAAAGTAATTTCGTTTTTTTTTTTTATGAAAATGAAAGACGATTTTTTTATAGCGAATAAATATTTTATTGAATTATATATAATGTTTATGCGGCTTAAGTGTGAATTTGGCCGTAAG